GTTATAAAGATGTCTATTTTATAAGTTAAATTTGACATTGTTTTAAACGTCTAATTATTACAACATAAATGTCTTCAAATGATGTTATATTTAAATATATCTAAAATATGTTTTAGTTGATCGATGGTACCGTGGGTATGTTAGCTTAACTTTTTAACTTCATTAGTACGATTTTTTACACTAACTGGAGATCATGGGTCTTTTTTGAGTAATTTTAACTTAATACGAAACTTTGGTTTCTCAAAAAAAAAAAAAGTGCTCAGTAATTGTTGTTAATAGACTATTAAGTATTACCCTAAAATAAAATAATTTTTTTTCTGAGAAGCTATGAGTAGTTTCTAAACACAGAAAATTCAGTAAAAAATTTTGCTATCCATATTTATTGTAAATTCTTATATTTATTAGATACTATTCTCAAAGCAGCAATATTTTAATAATGTGAAGGTAAATTTTTATATAGAGGTAAATAAATATAAGGTATATTTTTATAATTTATATTTAACAAAATCATATTTTTTTATGGTTAAAAGAATGTAATTTGTATAAAAAAATAAATGCGTTAATATGATCATCTAAATATGAACACTATATTGTGTTCATAGTTAGAAATTATTGGTGTAAATTGTAAACATATGTTCACAATATATAACGGTCAAATCTTTTAATTATAGAATTAATAGTTTTTAACTTAATCATTAAAATACTTTAATAATCATGAACACTTTACAGTCTTGAATAGATTTTTGCAAATTTATAAATAACTTAAATATTTCTTGTCTATCTTTTTTATATTGTAAATAGCGTGATTTATTTTAAGATTATCTTAGAAAATCTAGAGTTTAAATGAAATTGACATCAGATGAAAGATATGTTTTGAAAGAACTATTGAAGGGTTTAATGTGATTAAAATTTAAGTACATATAATAAGCAAGGTTTTATTTATTTTTTCTATTGGTTTAATAACATAAATGTATTAAAATCCAAGAAGTATTACATTATAGAAAATATCTCTGTGTTACATGAAAAATAAATTAAGTTTTAACTTGGGAAACTGAATTTATACTGTTAAAATATTTTCAAGATCTTTACTTTTATTAATGGCGTTAAGAACATAATAAGTTACACAATTTTCAACTCTATGCTAATAAATTTTGTCTAGCGAAAAAAACAACGTTTTTAACTCAAATGTGTTAGTTTTGTTCATGGTTTATTGTGGTAAAAAATGTATACAAGATGTATAAAGGAATTAAGTGTCTTTGGTGCAAGTTACTCTAAAACAAGATATAAAAGCGGGAAATGGAAAGTTTTGAGCTTCCTATATATATATGAGAATTGTGGCAATTGTTGTCATTATGTAGCTTTATCAGTGTTATAAAACGGTGAACAGTGTAAACAATGCGTACATAATTTATAAATATAATATTATACACATGTCGAGCTTGGTTCGTTTTCTGATAAATGTACGTTGGCTTGTGTGTTAAGAAAGGGTTGACGAAAAGGATAGGGGTACAACAAAACGGTCTTTTGCGCCACAAGTTTTCTCATTGTGTAAACACTACGAAAGCAAGTTTTACGGTTATTATTGTTACTACTAGTCGGATTTATTATCTTTTTTCTGTTGAAATTGGCCGGTAGAACAATCCTCGAGTATTCCCTAAAGCAACTCCTTTGGCAAGTTTGGCGATTAAAGGATTTTCGAAATCTTAAAGCTCTAAATTTCTAACGACGTGACTTTAATTAAACTGACATTATAGCAATTCATACCAGCTTAAATATATATTTGTTAAATTTTTAAATTATACCTTATTTCACATAGTTAATTCAACAAATTATTAAATAATTTTTAAAAATGTTGACTAATTATAAATATTTGCATTGCAGAAAATATGCCGAAGAATGGAAAATATGTCAGTAATTAAGACGCTTTTTTCATAGCATAAATAATTTCCTGCATTGTTCAATATTCAAAAATAACTGAAACATTACATATAATTTTACATCAACAGAGTTTTAAAGCATACTTGAGTGTTTTACTTAAATATTTAAATAATTGTTGTATTTAAGTTCTTGGGCAATGAAAACGTTTTCTAAAACAACATCTTATGTTTGTTTTTCAAGAGAATAAGCAAAGCTTATTTGATGCTGGCCTCGATATACCATACTAAAGTTGTCGATAGCAAACATTATCGTCTTTTGTGTGTGTGTGTGTGTGTGTGAATACACGCTAGAGCTATTCAAATATTTTAGCCCATTGCTTCTTCTTTCTCCTTTTTTACTAGCATGAAGTTTATACCTGAACCGGGTTACCTTTGTTTAGGGAAATTCAATAGACTTGCCAATTGCGAATTGAACTTTGAATATGACTTTGTTATCGGTTTTGAATAATTTATTGTTACTTTTTCATGGATACAATGTATAAAAAAACAACAGCATGACCGTCGATTTATAATTTATAATTCTAAGTTAAAAAATGTGAAAGTGGAGTGTTGTTTACTTGTCAAACTGCGCAAATCAGATTAAAAATGTACTTTTGTCGAAAAAAGTTTTAGTAGTAGAAATATTTAAGCACTCGCAATTATTGTTATGCTTTTTAGAAAAAAAAGTTGATTAAAAAGTGACAGTTTCGCTTTAAATTTAAGTTTCTTTTTCATGTTTTTAATACTTTTGAAATTATTTAGCTTTATTGAAACTTTTATACTTTATACTATTTTTGATATTAAAAAAAAAAACAAGTTTTCACTAAAACATGTTACTTAGTTGAAATATATGACGTTCAAGAAGGTTAAAATTGATAACAGTTATAACCTAACAATTATTTATCTTAAGAAAGTATAAAATTATTAAATTTAATGATTTGAAGTTAGCTGTTTTTAAATACGCATAATTATATGAACATAACATTCATAACAAAATACGAAAAATTATGTGAATCTGTGGTTAGTTAAAATTGAGAAAAACTGAAACTACACATTTTCTGTGATAGTAAAAGCTAATTTCTTTTTATATCGGAACGCCTAATAGTTTAAAATTAAAAAATATTCAATGTGTAATATCAAATATTTATGTGATTGAAAAAAAACACATTGTAATAATGTTTACTGTCAACATAATATATTAGCATCAATAAAATTCAATCGAATTATTTTTAATTGATATAATGCATATTGCTATAATTTTTTTGCTTCTGCATGAAAAAAAATACAGAAATGTAACAAGACGATTCTTTAGTAGAAAAAGAATCTAAAGGAGAAATATTATCTACACCATAGTATCCAGGAGCTGGTAAACCTGAGGGTTTAGGGATGAGAGGCCACCCTTATAGTACGTGTGCGGAATACAGATTCCACGCTTTAACGTTTTACTTTTGAAAATTTCGCTTTACTTTTCACGTTTCCATTTAAAAAATATTTGACCTATTATTTATATTATTATCGAATCATTCTAATTACACTTATAGGTCTTTCTGAAATTTTAAGATAAATATAGTTGTTGCATTTCTAGAGATATATTTTAATCATAAGAATCTCACATATCTAATGTATTAAATCGTTTTTGATAACTTTAGATTTATATTAGTCTGCCAATAGCCCAATTTGGTAATCTTCACACGTATTTTCATAGATTATCCAATTTAGGTAGCGAAATTCTGAATGACTTTTTTATTAACGGAAAGCAGTTTTTTGATTTAAAACAAAATTTAAAGTACTATTCATTAATCAAATGAGTTGTACGTGGGCACTTGGTTTTGACACCTTTTAAATTTTTATTACTGTACCAAAAATATTTTATTTCAATTTTGATAGAATTCTGGTATATAAAGATGTAATAAGCGATATGAATATAATGTGCTAGCTATACTGTTTCCTAAACTACACAAAAGCATATGACACTATTAAATGGAATTTACTAGTTTCTTTAAAAATTAGAGAGATTTAGTGCAGAGGCTAGTTTCAAACTAAATAGAATGAAGTGCTCAATATTAACGGTTGATAGAGCAGAAACACCTTGAACACTTCAAATATCCACTTACAAACATAGAACGTGGGGGAGCACGAATATCAAACAAAGAAGATTCTAAGGAAGAAATAAAACGTAGACTAGGAATAGACAAGACAGCAATTATCAAACTTTCTAGGATATGGAAAGATTTAATGAAAGAAACTAAAAAATATTTGAAAAAAACACTGGTTTTCCCCATAGCGACATACGGATCAGAATCATGGACTTTTTACCGTAGGAAAATAGAATCGTTTGAAATAATATCTTATTGGAAAATGCTGTATATTTCATGGACAGTTGACAGATCAAATGCATCATTATAAGAAGAATTAAACATACAAGAAAACAAACGATTTCTATCCTCATTACAATGTCAAATCTTTAATTTTTTTGGTCCTATTATAAGAAAAGATGATCTAGAAAAAATAATTATACAAGGTAAACTTGATTTAATGACTAAATCAAAGATTTAACTGGAATCAGGTCAGAAGCAGAAATCATGCAAACATAGAAATTCGGGAAGGTAGGAGAAATATTAGTAATCATACACTTGCTTAAACGATGTTCAAAATCTAATTATCGAAGAAGAAGGAGAAAGGTGTTATAAACATATCAAATTAGAATATAGTTTTTAACTGACTAATGTTGAATATGTATCGTATTTAAGTTTGATATTATTGTTAACAGTTTGAAATAAGTAACTAACAAATAACAGCATAAGCTTTATAAAATGATAAATTATATTTAAATTATTTTTTGTGTATTAAATTAATTTTAGCTATAAATGCGAATATATTTAATAGAAAAAAAAATAATAAAATGGATTGAAAGCCTTGCATTCTTCTTTACTATTTATAATTGACCTTCTTTGGTGTTTTAAGTATATTCTTTACAGTAGTTCAATGTTTTAACAAAATAGATTGTAATAGTTTAAAACTAAAAATAAATAGCTTCTAATAGTCGTAACTAAAAAATTACACCTAAAAATGTATATAACTTACCTTGTATATATCCAAATGACCACAGTAAGCATCAAATTTATTGTAGAGGCACTCTAGCATGTTGACTACCATAAAAGGAGTAGCTGTACTACAGATAGATGTGAAACCAACAATGTCACTGAATAACATTGTTACTTCGTCATGTGTTTTGGCTTCTATTGTCTCTCCTGCAATATAATCAAAGGATCAATATAATTACATTATCACAGCTAAGCACTAAATAGCCTAGTCAAAGTAATATGCATTTGTCATTTTGACTTAATAAAATTAAATACCATTGGGTTAAAGTGATGGCCACCAACATATCCTGTAATTCTATTAACACCATCGGTGTAAGAAGGTCTAATAGTAGGGTAGGTAGCAGGTGGTTTAGGATGAGACTAAGCATATTACAAATGCGCATAAAATTTATAAACGCGTGACCTAACTAAGCTATAGCAACAATAATTGAAACTGAGGATGACGGTGTACTTTTAGTGTCAACGGTTTAATTTGATACTTCGCTTGAGTGTACTTTATATAAATATACATTATATTATAATATCATAACGATTAGTTGCAAAATTTCGACCGTTTATTCGAAAACCCGCCAAGATGTAGTAACCAAATTCGGTATACGAGGGTATTTAAAAGGGGCGCACTTTACTGCTGCTTAAGTTTGTGGTCAAAGTTTCTTCATTCATAATCAGCTTGTTTTACAGATATTTGCTAGAAGGTAAATGGAAATCTCTTTACTTTAAAGTTTGTTTCAACAATAATTTCTAACATCAAAATTGAAGGGGATGGTGTTAAAAGTTTATTTACTTCCAATTCTTTTGTTGTTTAAGTCGCAAATTATTTATAACATAATTGGAGAATTTTTTTCAGTTCATTATGGAGAAATCCATTGCTAGTTTAAAAAAATTTATGTCAGTAGAAATGGCTAAGTTTAAGTTTCAGTATTTCATATATTTTAATAATGATTTTTTTGTTGTTCTTAAGAAATTTCGGTTTTGATTCGTGAAGACACAATGTTAAAATTAACTAAATATAAATAACATTTTTTATACTCAAATGTATATGGTATATTAATTAATAAAATAAAAACATAGAACTTAAAGTTAGTAATTCAATAGTTTCAAAAAATATATGTATTTATATAATATATAGGGTGATTTTTTTATCATAATCCACTCATCTACTTACAGAGTAATAATAATTTAAGCATTTTTTTTTTTTTGGTTATTTTTAGTTACACATTATTCTTGAATTATTAATTATGTAATACTTTTTAAGTTTATCCCTTATGCCTGGTAAGAGTGTCAACTTTATTTTTTTAAATGGGAACACATATTTTGAATTTAATAAAATGTTTTAGTTTTTAATTTAATAGTAAATGGCATTTGAATTTTTAGTATAACTTTATTTGTTTATTAGATATGAGCACTTAAAGTTTCAAATTTTTGAGTTAATATACATGTATAATACACATGAGATTACAAATGCAGGTAGCTAATTGGTTTTTTATGACATCGATATTAGCAGGTACACAGCATTGTTATTATCAATGGTAGTAATGCACATTGTTGTGAGTTTATAAATACACTAACTGACAATACAGAAAATATATCTATTGATAGTCATAATTGATAATAAACAATCCGTGACTGTGACAGCAATGTCATATAAATCCAATTAGCTACCTGTATTTGTAATCCCTTGTGTATTATACCTATATATTAACTCAAAAATTTGAAACTTTAAATGTTTATATCTAATAAACAAATTAAGTTTCATTAAAATTTCAAATGCCATTTACTATTGAATTAAAAACTCAAACATTTTATTAAATTAAAAATATGTGTTACCATTTAAAAAAACAAAGTTGACACCCTTACCAGGCATAAGGGATGAGCTTAAAAAGTATTACATAGTTAATAATTCAAGAATAATGTATAACTAAAGATAATAATAAAACAAATTGTTTAAATTATTATTATTCTGTAAGTAATTGAGTGGGTTATGATAAAAAAATCACCTGTATATATATATTAAAATTAAGTTGAAGAAAATTGTCTGTGGCTATTTTATAAAAGCTGATATGTTAATTTCAGCAATTTTTTGAGGGCGAGAACATTTAAAATTTTTAGATGGCAATATTTTAAATGAGCATTTTTGAAGTATAAAAAATATATTTCATCGATAAAAATTTTTACTTTTAGGTTTTATAGAAATTCAGAAAATATGTTTATAAAGATTGTGATATTAAAGTGAAATACAAAATAATTGCATAAATAAAAGAATGTTTGTAATAACCTTCAACATTTATATTATTAAAAACAGAAAGTAATGTATCTAAACATTGGACTTCTAACGTCCCAGTTGTAATAGAGTTAGTAGTTGTTTTTATTCACGTCTATATAGAATCCCAAGTGATTTCGAGAGGTTACTAAGTAATAAATATGCAGAGTGTGCCTCCCAAGACATTTGGTTAAACTGATGTTTCTCCGTTTGTTTTCCCAGGATTATTATATTAATAAGCAAAATAATAATTCTATTCATTTTAATATCATCTATACTCTATGTTTTATTTTTTTAGTATGCATCTGTACAAATATCGAGTAATTCACAAACCCCATTTTAAACAAATTAATTGTTTAATAATAGTAAAATTTGCATGAATTTTAAGGAAACATGGAGAATGATACGTATTTAAGAAAAATGAATACTTCAAGCCGTTATTTATTTGTATAATCTCTTAACCAAATTTTTTTTTATTATTAACTTTTTGACGATAATTTGTAAAATGTAATGATTTTTAGTATTTTTTTGAAAAAAGAAATTATGCATTTTCATAATTAATAATTATGCGGGACAATGATGCGGGATATGACAGCGATCTTTTTAATTTAGAATCTTAACAAGCTATTTTTAATTCATTTATTTGATGAAACGTATTATAGTAGGAACGTTCAGAGGAACAAAGTACTTTAACCCTACTATCCACCCCTTTTTGATTTTTAAAAATTACCTGAAGCCATTCAACCCAGGATAAAGGAAAATTACTAATTATTCCTTAAAAATTTTACTTTTATTATAATTTTTAAAAAATTTTTCACATTTTTCAATTTTATTGAGAAGCTTTTTTTTTTTATAATTTATGAAAATCCATGTTTAATATGTGTGATTCTCCCAAAGCAAATATGAAACATTATTCCAAATTACTTCTTTTGAAAAAATAGTTTTCTATGAATTTTACAGTTTACTATGCTAGTTAAATATTTATTTGAATTAAGGATAAAAAAATTATTTATAAATATACGTTAAAAATATTACTGTTAGTTAAAATATTTTTGAAAAGCTTTTAGTTTTATATAATTCACTGCCGTTTTATACTTTTTTGGTCGTTAACATTGACATAATGATAATACTGTTATTCAGTTTTGTACATACAATAAAGAGAACCAGAGTACTATCTTATTGTAGCTTCGATGCGAAATCGAGAAGGTCTTAATTTTACCATTTTGTTTTTTGTGTCTGTCAAAACTTTTTCTCATCTCTCACTGGATCGATTTTTGTCAATGATACGTCAAAATTCACAAATTGTCTGTAGTTAAAAACATTACCCTCAAAAATTAAACATTTTCCCCTCATTTCCCGTAAATGGTGGAAACCTCCCCAAAAATTACGATTTTTAAAATCAGTAAATTTCGACATTATTTTAAAATTTTTTTTTTGTTAAATTGCCATAACCTATTAAAAAATAAACGAATCAAAATATTTTGTTTTTATATTGAAACCTTAAGTAATTCCCTTTTATTTTATATTATATTTTATAAAATTATATATAATATTTTTGAAAATCTGACCCTTTATGAGCAGGCACAGAGGGGATTCAAAATGGCAACTTTTTCAATTTAACTTTTGAAAATTTTCCGGGAATACTACGTCTTTTAAATATATATTAAAATAAATCTTATTCTATGTACTTATTTTCTATGAGCAAATGGCAGTCGAAGTAAAACAAAAATATAGGAATTAATTTTGCTTTTGTAATAATCTACCATTTCTTATAATTAAATACTATCTACATATGTACGTCGAAGTGTTTCTTATGATAGTGATTTTAATTACTGTCAGATATCATCTATACTTGTCCCAACTATGTCACATCCACACTTTGCTACAGTTTTTTTTAACATCTAAGCTAAAAATCATTAGTTTCTAGCTTAGAAAAACAATTACCCCGCATTTCTCTACAACTATTTATATCAAAATATTTAATAATAATTTAAAATTCAATAAATAATTAAAAGATGTATATCTTGTTAAAAAATTAATCAATCATTTGTTCATTTTATATTCAAACATTAATCAACTAAAGTGAAAATTAAATAGTGTTTACTATTAGGGTTACCCTGATTTGTATAAAACAATCATAGTTTAAAATCAAATATAAAAATTCTATGAAACAATTTGATAATCTATAGAGTAATTATTCATTATGAATTATTAATTTTAATGGTTAATTAAAATAGGGTAATTAAACATTTGTAAAGGGACCGGAAACTCCGGATAATAAAATAAATAATTGGTTGGTCGACGATTGTAGTAAGGACTTAAAAGTTTTAAATATCTATGTTCATTCAAAACATTTGCCTGTAAAGTTAATTTATGTAGAAATACAAAGGGAATGGTTTTTTATAATTACTTTCATTCCAAAATCGGTAAACTAATATTTTAATGTGACACTGTTGATTTGAAATGCTATGTTTCTTAATACAGTCAATTTAATTTAAATAATTATATTACTCCTTTGAGTGAACTAATTTAGAAAATTTATTTACTATGCTAATTTGTACTAAGGTACAATTGTGGTTCTTTTACTTTACTCCTTCCATCAGTAAACAAAAAGAAAATATTTATTAGAATTATACAGTGCAATGGACTAAACCTTAAATTTAAACAAATGACATTTTATGGCCATAAATTGATCAATGAAAATCCATTTATAAACGAATAGTATCATAATTGAAAGGGAACGATGAGACAATACACCGAAACGGAATCTAAATGGACGAGTTTTTGTAATTTAGAAGATGTATTATGTATGTTAACTTTCGTTTTTTGTTAGGATCTAGGGTATACCTTTTTCACCCTTGAGAATCTATGAGTATGAAGACAAATGATATAAAATAACGATTCTATACTTTCCTAGTGATATTTTGTTTTTGTATACGGCGAAGTTTTATAAAAATTACTGGTATGTATTGTAAGATGAAAAAAGTTATTAAATTATAACACATTTCCTCTAGCCAAATGTTTGTTTTTTTCAACTTATTAAAAAAATATCAACAATGCTTTTTAAAAAAGAAAGATACATTTTTTCCTAAAGAAAAATAATCAATTTTTTGCATAAAAAAATTAAAACTTATGTATAATACTTATTGAGTGTATATTTTCAGTATAAAATAGAGTAAAATACAAAGGTTTTTGATGAAAATGATACTAGTGTTATCAAGTATGTACCTACGGAACGAAAAGCATTAAAAGCATTTTTACTCGCTAGTATAGTAAACATACCTAAATGTCATAAATCGCCTTAAATTTAACGGATATTATTTCTGTGAAATGATCTATTGCTTTAAACATTTTACAATATCGCTTACCTACTAGGCATGTTGACCACGTATAAAGATTTATGTTGTGTTATTTAATATATTTTGATGCTATATCTCATTTATGATGACTAAATTACTAGAGAGAAATTATTAAAGAGAACCTTCTATTAAATTTCATAGACTTAATCTTTTAATAAAGAGTTGTTGTTATTAATATTTAGAGCATTCGATAACAATGCCTGTATAAAATAAGGATATAGTGAATTTTTTTACCATAAAGATATAGATAAATGAAAAATATATATTAGTAGTTTTTAGAATACTTCAATACACTATTTCAAACTTATATTAAGCAGTAGAAGTTTTTTAAAAGTTTAAATAACATATTTTATTAAATAATACTACATATTTACTTACAACAACCCTGAAAGAATAATGATTTTGTTGAAAAATTTTTTTTAAATGATTCTTTAACCAAATTTTCGTTATATTCGAGTATATTATAATTAACAAGATGCACTATAAAATAGCAGGTATTTTTATAATTATACAGCCTTTTTTTATATTTATATAATTCTGACTTATTAAAGTATTTATAAAATTTGGAGTTAGATACGTACCCAAATAAAAATATACTGTTGGATAATTTATGTCGAAATATACAGTAAGGTCATAATTTTATCTTAATAATTTTTTTAACAAATAAATATTATTTTCATATTTTATATGCTATTCAAATTTATCATTATATGTTTTCTTACTATTTGACTGCTAAAAACATTTATTAGATTTATATAACTAATAGATTTATTCTAACTTAATAAAAAATATATATTTTTTACTTATTTATTAATACATTGAAATATAACAGTTATATTTTTACTATTAGTCACCAAGGGTGAGCAAGTTATTGATTTTTTTAACTCTTTAAAATTAAGTTAAATTTAAAAAAGTTGACGAGTTAAAGTTCAATTAATCTGGTATTTTTTAAAATAAATTAAGTTAAAATTAACCTAACGTAAAATTTAAACATCTCTGTTAAGCTAAAAATTTTAACTTATTAACTCGTTTATGCCCAGTGTTGTTATTTACTATCTAATAAATATTTTTTTAGTTCATTGTTGATTATTTATATATATATATATATATATATTTATTATAGTTATTAAAAGCGAGTATTTTTAGTTATTTTAGTTTTTGCGTTTAAATTAGTATCGAATATACCTAACGTGCTTTGTCACATTATAGTTTACATATAAAACATGCTGTATTGGCTATTAGCCAAAGAGTATGGCATGGCGTTATACGTGTAATCATCTTAATTACTTTTTCCATTGTGAAAATCCTATAAAAAAGTACTACGCACATAGTCACATAGACATCAGAGTTTATAAGAACTCAACAGTACTATAATTTTCATGTACGACTTGGTGAATTCGACTTACTAAAATATACGTAAAATTATATAAGGTTTACTTTCAAATTTTGTTAAAGAATTAACCGTTAAGACTCTTTATAGTTTATATTAATATAGATAGGTTGTAGCGCGATGTATTTTATGAAACTTAATTTAAACAAAGGGAAACGTTATAATGTAATATGAAACAATGTATAATACAATACATTTTATAGTTATTATTGATAAAAGATATTTTAATAGTATAAGGCAACGTTATAAACCTTAAATACTATTTTTGATGAGTTAAATATATTGTTAAAAATATGAAAGAACTTTATAATCTCACGAATTTATAGTATGGTGTTTACATAAAAAGTATTGATTAAATGCACTGAAAATCTGTTAAGTTTTTAACTATTTACATTACTTATTTAAAGCGATATTTATTAGCGAATAAGGTAGGAATGACGTGATATAAAAAACCATCAAGTTAATAATTAATATCACCCTTGTTAAGGCTAAATGATTAAGATAATGAAAAAAAATAGTTTTGTTCGTAGCTTAAGTATCAACTTAAATATTCATTGTAAGTAACTTACAGTATTAAATTAAAGGTTAATATTGCTTCTAAATATATTTTAAAAAATTAAAGTAGAATATTGGATAATTAATTTTCATTTTGAAAAAAAGGCTGTTTGAATATTATTTAATCTACTAAACATAATACTATTTTTATAATGTAATATATATTTCATTTAGGGTAAAAAAGTAAGTTTCAAATCAAAATATGTTTTACTTTCAAAAATTTTATTTTATTCAAGTACTTAGCTAACAATATTTTTGTATTTATCAACTATAAAAATAGTATTACTTTTTTTTATTAATGTTGTATCAAAATTGAGCTATCAGAATAAATTTAGGTCATTCTTAGAATACAGATTTTTAAAATTAGTATTTAAATTACAAATCCTTGTTGTCGTATCAACAGTTCGACAGTTTGAAAACTCAAAAAATTAGTTTTGTTTTTAGTTCTTCCAGTGTTGTATAAAACACAAGTCATGACATGGATATATTGACAATAAATAACAAACTCAGAGAAACTTAAAAGAATCTAGTTTTAGTGTAATACTATTTTGTGTAAGATCCCAATATTCCTCCTTTAGCGGATGTATCTTAAATGTTCATTCTCGTAAAAACTGTGATATCCTGAAGTATCTATTCATCCTTGGGGATAATACGAAGTGTAGTATTTAACCCGCGTATAGTCTATCGTGGCGTTAAGAGCCATTTCCGTTTGATTTGGCAAAAAGGTTAGGTATAAAGTGTGATAAAAATAGCCTATGTTTATTTTCATAATGCAACTGGCAACTTACCCAGCCAAAGCCGTTTAGCAATGTTAGGAGGAAAGATCATGTGTAGGAGACTGACGTTTTTTTCCCTCTCCTTCCCTACGGCCAAGTTAGCTTCCTCTATTGAACTTTTTAACTTGTCCATTCTTCTACGAAGTCCATCCTAGAAGTAAACAAAAAACGCATTCAAATTTATTTTGGTAAACGTTGAGTTTTTAAATATTTATTATTCTACATCTTAAAATATTTTTTCAGATTATTTATATAATTAAAATAAATGAAAGAATTTCAGTCAGCATCATTAACCGTCCATTTTATTTTTAAAAAGAGAAGTAAAAACGCAATCTATTTGTGTCATGGATATTTTTTATAAATATTTTCGTATTAATCAATCTTGACGTTTGTGTTATTTCATCAAAAACAAACAAATGTAAAAAGTTATAAGTTAATGTTACAACCTTTACCCTTTTGATAAATTTATGGTCATTCAATTTAATAATGTAAACTGAGATAACTGAAATATATATAATTTCCACTACCTTTTATTAATATTTCAATCATTAATACAAAACTCAACACATTAAAATGCTTAGGGACATAACTAGAAAACTTTTGTGGGATTGAGGGAGTCGTAATTAATGAAAACTCAATAGTTCTCTTACATCAATAAATATTTTTGTAAAACATTAATTATAATTTTTAAAATTTTTAGAAGTTTTTCGCCACTTGTACTTTTATATAAGACTTCTTAAATATTCGTCAATAATAATTATAACAAAAAAATCTATTTCACGTACTAAGTACTAAAATTATTTTTGACTTATATTTATAAGTATTTAATTTATAAATATAAATTTATCGCAAATACATTAAAAATGCATTATATTGGATGTTTTGCACCGTTCATTTTCTTCCATTGACAGGCTTACAAAGTAATAGTTTACTTTTGTAATAATCTACTTTAGTTACTTTAAATAAGACTGAACGATGAGAATTATTTCAAAATTATCTGATACATTTACTTAAATAAATTTATGTTCTATGTGGATATTTATACTTGTACTTTTAATTTTTAAATTGTATAGTTTTGAAAAACACTTAAAATAATCGTGGTAATCTAGAATATTATCCTTAAAGTAAAATAAAAATATATATACTGGGAAATTATTTACTTTCAAAATTCTTTGTTGTATGGTAAATATTAACAGTTCTACTTTAGTAATGACAACAGTTTTTAAATGGTGATTTTTTATAATTCCTATTTAAATGAGTCTGAGTAGATAAATTTAATTTATTTAAAATAGGCAATCTAAAAGATTGTAAATAGTCTTACTGATTGGAAGTTCAGTTATAAAAATTTCTTTATTTTATGTTACAATACTTTATCTGATCAGATTTCGTATTGTGCAGTGTGTGTATTGACAATTTTATTTATTGTGTCCTATTAATAAAAGAAAGGAAAAGTCATGATTTCATGACCAGTCACAAAACCAAGCTGTATACCTTACTGAGAACGTGTCGATTATTTAGTTTTTTTTAAAGCAAAAGACAAATTGATCATCGTGATACTATCCACGTAGGTTAATAACCAAGAGTCAGTTTTTGTAGCCTTCAGGTCGGCGAATGTGATTCAAAAGTTTTTAAAGGAGTGTTCTCAAAAAACAAAGTTTTAATAAAATAGAAAGTTTGAGCGTTTGGATGAGTTTTTAGTATCTAGATAATACAGTATAGAGTTTACAGTTATATTTTTTTGTTTCTATAGTTAAAGAAAAAAGGCGGAAATAACTTTTTTAGTTCCTCGAAACGGTACTTTGTTTCGTATTGCACTTAATTTTTTATTTATTAAAGGGAATGTTACACAGTTTAATGTCAATCTAGTTTATACAGAAAAACTACAAAAAATGCATGTTGTTTCTGAGTGTCAGTAAACATTATGATTTTATTATGAAATATATTGATAATAGTACAATGATATTACAAATGACTGAAAATTTTGCAATATTCATATACTATACAATATTTATACGTGGTAATTTACTTACCAGGGATGAGTATTTCTAAAATGTATTATCATTTTTCGAAATTTTATGCGGGCCGTAATTTTTATCAAGAAAGAGATTTTTCCAATGAAAAAAACTGTCAAAAATTGTACTGTCGTTAAAAAATATATCAGTCTTAATTAACTATAAGAAAATAGAATTTTTTCCTAATAAAGCTTTATTAAATAATAGAAATATTTAATTAGAAGTATAAATTTAAATTTAAATTAAAGTTTATTACACTCTTTATTATTTAATATAATTTTTTATTTAGGAAATAGATTTTTTTGAACTTCAAAAATTATTATTTATAGTTGTTATTGAGGGGAGCAAGAACTGTCAATGCTCTTAGAAATGTAGGTCCATTGTGTGCAATAGATTATTATTTATAAATAATAATCTATAAACAGGGTTATTTACTTATGATCCACTAAATTTATCGAAGAATAAAAATAATTTTTGTAATTTTTTATTTGTTTCTTTTAGTTTAATGTTTTTTTAAATATTACGCTCATTAAGTTTATTATAGTATCATTATACCTTATAAGGGTGACAACTTTAATTTTTTAAATGTAACATGCCTAATTAACTCGATAGGTAATATAATTAAGAAAATAACTTGTCGATAAAAACTTTTGAACTTGTATTTCAGAAGTTTTTGACATATTTATATGTAGATGAGAGGATGAGTACGGNCTCATTAAGTTTATTATAGTATCATTATACCTTATAAGGGTGACAACTTTAATTTTTTAAATGTAACATGCCTAATTAACTCTATAGGTAATATAATTAAGAAAATAACTTGTCGATAAAAACTTTTGAACCTGTATTTCAGAAGTTTTTGACATATTTATATGTAGATGAGAGGATGAGTACGGCTGGTAAATGTTTAGCTATAAAAAAACAGCACCCATTCTTCACCTCCAGTTAATACTTTAAGTTTTTAATAAATTCCAAAATACTGGTTCAAAAATTGTTATCGATTAGCCATTTTCTTGATTAGAACATTATCCATTAAATATTTTAGTTAATTGGGGTGTTGGTATTGAAGGAATTGATGTTGACACCATTAAAAAGTATAACTGATGAACATAAAAAAGAGTGAAAAATTGAGAGAAACATTAAACTAAAAGAAACAAATAAAAAAATTATTAATATTATTTTTATTCTTCGATTAATTTTAAATGGTTTGTGATAAGCGAATCACTCAGTATAATGATAGATACATAATAATCTAACAACTGGTTAGATTATTATGTATCTATATTATTATGGGTTGTAAAAAAAAAAATCATTGTTAAATGATAATTTAAATTAGCTAGCTCTTGAAGAAAGTCCAAAGCAAAATCAATAATAATCCACTTATTAATGATGTGCTATCTTAACCGATTTAATAACATGATACTAATGTATAATTAAAATTTTCCAAAAGCAAATATTCAACAAGTGTTAATTATCTCACTTATTTTTTCACTGTTTTTCGTAGAGCTTATGTAGTCATCATTTCGTTTAAATATGATACTTCACTAAAAACTTAATGAAAAGACCGTATGCAATAATGAAAATGTTAATTATTTTATTTAGTCAGTGTGATTAAATCTTTAAAATTATACTAGATAAAAATTTGCTCATTAGCAATGAAAATAAAAATAATCTTTTTGTCTCAAAGGTAATTAAAATTTTTTCACACAGAAATGTTCTTTTTTTTGGTACATTATAAGAAATGATCTAATAATTTTCATACGCGAGTGTGATATTTTTATTATACATGTTAACTTTACACACAACAAGTATAATTTTATCATAAAGTATTGAAAATTCATACACGAACATAAAATTTTTATTACTATTTATCAAAGTTTTCTTTTACATTGCATGCATTAAAAATGTCCATTACATGTATGTAAAAAATGTTTAAGTGATCTAAAATCTTAGGTTATTAAATAATTACATCTTTTTGACTATTTTTTATATGAATAAATGTATTTATTAGATACGTTTTTATATTATAATATTTTCATAGATATTATTATTACAAAAAAAAAAAAAAATCATTACCATAACTTGTGCTACATGTATACCCTTAAAAAAATGTATGAATTTTTGTACACTTAAAATAGCGTCCACCCAACTTTTTAACAAATCCACATACTTATCTTAAGGCAAATTTTTAGAAAATCGTGGCATAACTTATTTAACAAAAATCATTTTCCAATAATAAAAGTAACAAAAAGATAATTGTAGAGCTATGTATTGATAGCTATAAAAAATAAATAATAAAAAAACGCGAACCTTAATGTTTTTAGAAATGGCTATTAGATATTTTTATTAAAATAATTTTGATTAATCGTAAGTTTTTTTTATTGAGTATAGCTCATAATTCTATAAATTAATTTCATAAATAAGTTGTAAGCATTACATAAAAATGCACTCACTGTTTATTATTTTCGACTAAAGTAGTTTTAATCATCATACTTTTTACTTTCATTTATACAATAGAATTTCAAATAATTAATTATAAAAGGTCGGTTAGTTTAAATTTACTCTCACAAGAAAATGTTTTTGCTTTTCCCATCATCAACAATGCACAGTGAATTTAGGCGAGGTCTTCAACAATAAAGGTCGTTACACTACACCAAATTTATAAAAATAAAAAAAGTGTTTTATTCGGAGTATTTTATGTTTAATGTTTATTTCTTGTTATGTTACTACGATGATGACATTTTTCTTTTCTCTTGGTATGACAGTTAAACATTGTTCAAATTCAAAATGTTGTGTTTCATCATCAAAATTTCCTTTTTTTGTTAAGTTGAATTTGACATGCTNCAAAATTTCCTTTTTTTGTTAAGTTGAATTTGAATTCTGTTTCAAACTCAAAAAATTATTTTCGTCAAAATATTAAACTATATATAGTTGTTGGAGATTGCAGATTATAAATTAAATCCTATTGTAGTGTAAAAAATTACCAATATGCTTTAAAAATAACTTTCTATATTTGAGTTTAAGAAATATCATAAAAATAAGAAGTGTTACACTTATAAATGAGGCTAAGTTATATGAGACACTTTACTTTGATAGATCTACACTTATTAACGTTCTCTTTTAAATTGTATAGGTATTA